AATATAACAAACGGGCAAGTAGGAGCAGGAGGAGCAGCAGAGAGTAGTCCAGGTCACAAGCCAGGGTACAGCAACTAACAGCCAGGTAGGTACAAGGGGGTCATAGGCAGAGAATGGTCGGGGTCACAAGCCAGGATCAGAACAGGAGAAGTCAGCAAGGGTCCAGAACAAGCAGGGGTCTCAGCAACAAGACAGGAACAGGAACAGGATGCAGGAACAAGATACAGGGCCCAGGAAAAACACACACCAAGGCAGAGTCTGCAGGTCTGGGCCAATCCCTTAAATACACCAGCATAAGCAGTTTCAGGATGTTTGGCTGGCTGCAAGGTTGAGTCTCTGATTGCTTGGAGCACTCCGCTGGCCAGCCCTGGTACTGCAGACCCATAAGGCAGGTGAGTCCCTACCATTGCTGGCCAGTCCATTCCTGACAGTACCCCACCCCCCCTCAAGGAGCACCTCAGGTGACGCTCCAAACAGTCTTTAGCTGGGCAAAATGTTCCACCACAAAGCCCGGGTCTGGTAACTGGCGGATATCAAAAGACTGGCACAACCGGGCAGGGTCACATCTTTCCCGGGCAGAGGCACATCGGGCAGCGGCACTCCGGGCAGAGGCACATCGGGCAGCGGCACTCCGGGCAGAGCGGTACACATCGGGGTGCAGCGGCACTCCGGGCAGCGCTACATCGGGCAGCCGGCACTGCCCGGGCCTCCGCAGAGGCACTTCGGGCTGGACTCCCGGCAGAGGCATCACATCGGGCTGGACTCCGGGCAGAGGCACATCGGGCTGGACTCTGGGCAGAGGCACATCGGGCAGACTGGCACTCCGGGCAGAGGCACAACATCGGGCTGGACTCTGGGCAGGAGCACATCGGGACAGCGGCACTCCGGGCAGAGGCACATCGGGCAGCGGCACTCCGGGCAGAGGCACATTCGGGCAGCGGGCCACTCCGGGCAGCGGTACATCGGTGCAGCGGCACTCCGGGCAGAGGCACTTCGGCTCGGACTCACGGCAGAGGCACATCGGCTGACTCACGCCAGGGCAGAGGCTACATCGGGCTGGACTCCGGGCAGAGGCACATCGGCAACTGGACCTCCGGGCAAGAGGCACAACACTCGGGCTGGACTCCGGCAGAGCACATCGGGCTGGACTCCGGGCAGAGGCACATCGGAAGCTGGACATCCGGCAGAAGGGACAATCGGATCACCAGCGGAGCAGACCGCAGACATCGGATCACCACCAGGCGGAAGCAGCAGGCAGCGGGCCACCAGGCGAGCAGCAGGCAGCGGGCCCCCAGGCGGAGCATGCAGGCACCGGGCCCCCCCAGGCGAGCAGCAGGCAACCGGGGCCCCACCAGGCGGAGCAGCAGGCACCGGGACCCCCAGGCGTAGGGGCGACAGGCATCGGGTGCCCCCAGGCGGTGCAGGGGCGACAGGCATCGTTGCCCCCAGCGAGGGCGACAGGCATCGGGCCCCCCAGCAGCGGAGGGGCGACAGGCATCGGGCCCCCAGGCGGGAGGGGCGACAGGCATCGGGCCCCCCCAGGCGGAGGGGCGACAGGCATCAGCCCCCAGGCAGTGAGGGGCCGACAGTGCAATCAAGCCCCCAGGTTATACCGGAGGGGCGACAGGCATCGGGAACCCCCCAGGCGGAGGGGCGACAGGCATCGGGCCCCACCCATGCAGGAGGGGCGACAGGCATCGGGCCCCCACAAGGCGGAGGGGCGACAGCATTCGGGCCCCCAGGCGGAGGGGTCGACCAGGCATCGGGCCCACCAGGCGGAGCAGCGGAGCGCCGACCCCCCAGGCTGAGCGACAGGTCTCAGCAGGCCCCCAGGTAGAGCGACAGGTCTAAGGCCCCCAAGGCAGAAGCGACAGTCTCAGGCCCCCAGCGGAGGCGACAGGTCGCTCACAGGCCCCCAACCAGGCGGAGCGACAGGTCTCAGGCCCCACAGGCGGGAGCGACAGGTCACTCGGGCCCCCAGGCGCGAGCGACAGGTCTCTCGGGGCCCCCGAGGCGGAGCGACAGGTCTCGGGCCCCCCAGGCGGAGCGACAGGTCTCGGGCCCCCAGCGGAGAAGCGCCCGACAGGTCACCTCAGGGACCCCCAGGCGGAGCGACAGGTCTCGGGGCCCTCCCAGGCGAGTGACAGGAATCTCGGCTCCCCAGGCGGAGCGACAGGTCTGCGGGCCCCCAGGCGAGCGACAGTCTCAAGGGCCCCCTCGGCCCCCATCAGCGGCGGGCGCCGTGACCCCCAGGCGGAGCGACAGTCTCGGGCCCCCAGAGGCGGATCGGCGGGCGCAGGACCCCCAAGTGCGGAGCGACAGGCTCGAGGCCTTATCCAGGCGGAGCGGCGGGCCTGGACCCCCAGGCAGCGACAGGTCTCGGCCCCACAGGCGGAGCGGCTGGCGCCGGGGACCCTCTATCAGCCAGGTCTGAGCGACAGGTCTCAGGGCCCCCAGGCGGAGCGCGACCACCAGGCGGAGGGCCGCCGCCGACCCCCAGGCGGAGCGACAGGTCTCGGGCCCGCCAGGCGGAGCGGCTGGGCGCCGGACCCCCATTGGCGGAAGCGGACGCCCACCGATGTCACCAGCACGACAGTGGGCTCCGAGTCAACTGGCATGACCGCTGGAACTGGGTCAGACATTGACGATCGTCTGGCTGGACAGCGGGCATCAGGTTCACCAGGATTGAATCAGGTCATTTGCTCGACAGCGGGCACCGCGTCATCTGGCAAGGCACTGGTGCACCAGTCACCAGGCACGACAGTGTGGCTCTGAGTCAATTGGCACGACATGCTGGGCACCGGGTCATGAGTACCGGATTGTCTGGCTCGACACGCGGGCATCGGAGTCACCAGGTATGACAGCGGGCACGGGTCACCAGGCATCAGGTCAATATTGGCTTGCCAGTGGGCACTGCGTCATCTGGCAAGGCAGGTGGGCACCGAGTCACCAGGCACGAACAGCGGCTGCTCTGAGTTCAATTGGCACGACAGCGGGCACCGGATCAGGTACCGGATCGTCTGGCTTCGACAGCAGGCACCGGGTCATCTGGCGCTGGATCGTCTGGCTCGACAGCGGGGCATCGGGTCACCAGCATAGACAGCGGGCACTGAGGGTCATCCAGCATTGGATCGTCTGGAGCTCGACAGCGGCACCGCGTCATCTGGCAAGGCATGTGGAGACACCAAGTCACCAAGCATACGACAGTGGGCTCTGAAGTCAATATGGCACGACAGCAGGCCACCGGGTCATCAGGTACCGGACTGTCTGGCTTCGACAGCGGGCATATTGGGTCACACCAGGTATAGACAGCGGGCACTGGAGTCACCAGGCATCAGGTCATTTGGAGGCTGAGGTCCAGCGGGCACCGCGTCACTCTGGCAAGGCAGTGGGCAACCGAGTCACCAAGGCACGACAGCGGGCTCTGAGTCCAATTTGCACAACAGCGGGCACCGGATCAGGTACCGGATCCGTCTGTGGCTCGACAGCAGGCACATGGGTAATCTGGCTCGACAGCTCTGGGCATTTTGGGTCACCAGGCATGACAGCGGCACTGGGTCATCATCATTGATCCGTCCTGGCTCGACAAGCGGGCATCGGGTCAACCAGGTATGACAGCGGGCACCGGTAATCAGGTACCGAAGATCGTCTGATCAACAAACAGCGGGCCATCTCGAGTCAACTGGCCTAATAGGATCATCAGGCAGGATCAGTCATCAGGCTGAGTGGAGGCATCAGGCTTTGAGTGGCGGCATCAGGCTGAGTGAGCGCAACATCGAGGCTGGGGGTACAGGCATCAGGCTGGTGCAGACATCAGGCTGAAGTGCGGCGTGCCGAGGCACCAGGGCACTGAACCACGGAAGGCATAGTTTCTCAGACGGCAGGCTGACCGGTTTTGGATACTGGCAGGATGGTATTGGTTGGAAATAATTTACTTCGCTTTTTTCTGGTTTTAACTACTGAGCACTGCAGTAAACGCAGGTCTGCAAACGAAATGGCAGCAGCTGGAGGACACAGAGAAGAGAGCTGGGAGATGGAACAGGGGAGGGAAGCAGTTTGCTACAGAGGGCTTTTTTACAGGTTAAAGGCAGGATAGGTGCAGCGAGTGGTGAACAGGGTACTGACATGACTGCGGATAGATGAGCAGGCAGGAGGTGAGCTGTTGGGAAATGCAATAATAGAGCTTTGAGGAAATAGATTATAAGCAGGACTTGGTCTTTGTAAGCTGACCTGAGGGCTGGGTGCAACAAATCTGTCCATACGTCTCATAGGGGTTGAACAAAGCTCAGCTTACACAAAGCCTGTCTGGTCAATGACTGCACTGCGTTTATACAATCTCTTAGTATCTTGTGGTGAACATGTGTGAATAACGCTCCAGAAAGTAATTCACATCATCCTCTAATAACCACACCAGGGACTCTACCTGTAGTCGTACACTAAATGGCGGCAACAAATTCGATCCCGTGCATTTGGGGAACACAGAAAAAAAAAAAGTGAAGATGAGGGCGGGGAGGGGGGGGAAAAAAGAACCTACCACCAACTCAGCACAAACCTCAATCAAAGAGCTAACTGCACCTCAGAGAACTCTGTGCCCTGATCTACTAGAACATGAGCGAGCCGGATACATTCTAGCAGTTCATCCCGGGGATACTCCCTTCAGAGTCTGATAACATACTCCCTGTCATCAAACACTAGCAGATATAAACATACACAACCTCTATCAAGATCCCTCCTTCCCATCAACAAACCAAGATGGCTTCCCTGTGCAGCCACTTCTGGTCAGATTTGGCCTTGGTGTAATGTCAGGGCTCCTGGGTGTTGACCAGAGGTATGTGACTGACGTCAGCAGGAAATGCAGGCTTCAGATAAGTTACATAAACAATATAAATTTATTCCAAGACTAACAATACAAACATAAACGCAGTGCAATACTAAACATAACACAGTGCAAACGAACCAATAGCCAACCACCCACACTGACAGATAACAGATACATACAATGCAAGCGTCGTCAGGCAGGCCGGGTACAATAACAAACGGGCAGGTAGGAGCAGGAGGAGCAGGCAGAGAGTAGAAAGTCAGGTCACGAGCCGGGTACAGCAACTAACGGGCAGGTAGGTACAGGGGGTCAGGCAGAGAATGGTCGGGGTCACAAGCCAGGGATCAGAACAGCGAGAAGTCAGACAGTCAGAGGATACCAGAACAAGCAGGGTCAGCAACAAGACAGGAACAGATGCAGGAACAAAGATACAGGCCCAGGAAAAACGACACACCAAGGCAGAGTCTGCGCAGGTCTTGGCCATCCCTTAAATACACCAGCATAAGCAGTTTCAGGTGTTTGGGCTGGCTGCAAGGTTGAGTTCTCTGATTGCTTGGAGCACCCGCTGGCCAGCCCTGGTACTACTGCAGCCCATAAGGCAGTGAGTCCCAACCATTGCTGGCCAGGATCCATTCCTGACAGTGAGCTGCTGTACTCACACTGTCCTCTTTAATTACTCTCTGCCTCTCCAGTCTCCATACCATCCATGCCTCACTGCCTTAAATGTATCCTCCTGATGCCAGCCCAAGCCCAGCCCCCTAGACCTAGGGACCCCTCCCAGGGACCGACAGTCTCCCCAGCACTCCATCTTCCACCGCCGCTCCTCTGTCAGCATGCCTCTCTCTTCCATATTTATGGGGCCAGTCCACCATTCTAACCAAGGCCTACAAACCTGGGATTGGCCAGACCTCCCATGAACATGAAGATTAGATCCCCACCCCTTCTCCTGCTTTCCAACTTCTGAAGGTTCTATGGTCCTCCTGTTGATTCATCTAGCTGACCTGCAATAACCCAACTTCAATCACAGACATCACACAATTAACCACGAGTCATACACAATGATTTTACCTACAATACACTACACTATTCTAATAGCACACTAGAGAGTGCTACATAAACATTCACATCAGTCCCTGCCCTCAAGGGCGATACAATCTAAGTGTCCCTTAACTCATAGTCATACTCATACACATACTATGGACAATTTAGACAGGAGTCAATGAACCTCCCAGCATATCTTGGGAGTGTGGGAGGAAACCCACACACTGAATTCGCACAGGGAGAATATGCAAACTTCAGGCAGGTGGTGCCGTGGGTTGGGATTCAAACTGATGACTCTAGTTCTATTAGACGCGAGTGCTAACACTCACTTAGCCACTATGCTACCCCCAGAAAACAATACCACATTTTGTCCACTAGATGGTCGATACAGGCAGATGGTGATACAGGCATTAATCCCTTAGGAAACAAAATGGACATTTCAAATAAATTTGCAGGAATGCTGCTGACATTTGTGCAACAAATGTGTGATAAATTAGACCCCCCCCCCCCTACTGTTTATATCGGTCTAGATAGATGAATTGATGATTTTTGGGTGGGTTGGTCAGAGGATTGAATCCTTGTTGAAAAAGATTGAAAATGGCTATAAAATTGCCCTTCTGTATGGCCAGAATATGTCTCAAATGTCTCCTATATCTGGGACAGTCAAATAAAACATCATTCAATCTTCAGCACTGAGCTTTCCGACCTAAAAAAAAAAACCAAAACTTCCAAGTACTCCATCAGACAAGTTTGTGACTTTGATCCGGTTTTCTTTTCAAGCGGTAGAGATATGAAATCCAGGAGACGGCCCAGATCTGCCAGACGTGAGATGACAGGCGATATCCGTAGACACGGAGAGGACTTGCTTCATAGGAACGTCAAGGATTCCAGTGGCTGTGACCGGACTGATGGATGGGTGTGTCAGCGCTCGGATCCCGCGCGCAGGTAAGTGAGCTGTGTGATAGAATCCGGGGAAAGATCAGACTCAATGGACTGAGGAACATTGATACAATTGTTACTGCACCACAGGACAGAGCGGGAGAAACTGCAACACGTCCCTGGGAAAGGTTTATTATAACCTGCCCGGAGATGGGGGTCCTCCAGGGATTCATCACCCGACTGCTAGAGCGCCTTATTGATCGGTGGTGCCATTCACTGATTGAGTTAAAGCGATATCCTCCCTGATTCCCCTCCCCATGACTTTACCATTGAGATCAACGCACAACCATTGTCCCCCATCCACACATGCCAGGGTGCTAGGTGTAATCCTAGACTCCCGAGCTCTCTCCCCACATCCAATCACTGGCTAAATCTTGCAACATTTCCAGAATTCACCCCTACCTGACTAATGACACCACAAGGCAACTTATTCATTTCTTGGTCAGCGACTGCTGCTAGACTCATACACCTTACCGACCGATCAGCAACTGCTGCTAGACTCATACACATTACCGACCGATCAGCGACTGCTGCTAGACTCATCCACCTTTACCTACCGACCGATCAGCGACTGCTGCTAGACTCATCCACCTTACCGACCGATCAGCGACTGCTGCTAGACTCATCCACCTTACCGACCGAACAGATCAGCGACTGCTACTAGACACATCCACCTTAACCGACCGATCAGCGACTGCTGCTAGACTCATCCCACCTTACCGACAGACCGATACAGCGACTGCTGCTAGACTCATCCACCTTACCCGACTGATCACGACTGCTGCTACTAGACTCATCCACCTTACCGACCGATCAGCGACTGCTGCTAGACACATCATACACATTACCGACCGATCAGCGACTGCTACTAGACCTCATACACCTTACCCGACCGATCAGCGACTGCTGCTAGACTCATCCACCTTACCGACCGATCAGCGACTGCTGCTAGACTCATCCACCTTACCACATCGATCAGCGACTGCTGCTAGACTCATCCACCTTACCGACCGATCAGCGACTCTGCATAGACTCATCCACCTTACCGACCGATCACACGACTGCTGCTTAGACTCATCCACCTTACCGACCGATCAGCTGCTAGACTGCTGCTCCTTAAGACTCATCCACCTTACCGACCGATCAGTCAGAGACTGCTGCTAGACTCATACACATTACCGACCGACCATCACAGCGACTGCTACTAGACTCATACCACCTTACCCGAGTCAGCGACTGCCGATCATCGACTGCTGCTCAGCGACTGCTGCTAGACTCATACACCTTACCGACCGATCAGCGACTGCTGCTAGACTCATTCACCTTACCAACAGATCAGCGACTGCTGCTAGACTCATCCACCTTACCAACCGATCAGCGACTGCTGCTAGACTCCTACAGCTTACCGACCGATCAGCGACTTCTGCTAGACTCATACACCTTACCCGACCGATCTAGCGACTGCTGCTAGACTCATACACCTTACCGACCGATCAGCGACTGCTGCTAGACTCATACACCTTACCAACCGATCAGCGACTGCTACTAGACTCATACACCTTACCAACCAATCAGCGACTGCTGCCCCTCTCTGCCAGTCCCTTCACTGGCTTCCACCAACCCAAATATAAAATTCAAAATGTACAAGGCCATCCACAACAACGCCCCCAGCTACATCACCAACCTCATCCACAGATATCGACCCAAACCGTCCTCGTCCACTCTTCTCGAGACCTTCTGCTCTCCAGTTTACCTCCTCCCACGCTCACCTCCAGGACTTCTCCAGAGCCTCTCCCATCCACTGGAACTCCCTACCCCAGTAATGGTCTGGTCACTTCCCTCCTATCCTGTCCACCTTTAGGCTCCATGTACACGGGACGTTTCTGAACGATGGAAACTGACTGCTGGAAAACGTAGGTTTAAAAAACGTCTGTTTAGCCACATTTGCATAATTTGTTTATGCGCGGTTGACCATGCTTTGGAAACACTCGGGCACTGCCTGAGGCCCGAGGTCAGTAAGGGGCCCCATGAGATGCCCCTGGTACCTTTTTCATAGGCTTTTTTGAGTTTGGGCAAGGGCATAGGGGCCCCATGATCCCCTATTGCCCGGGTGTGAGTTGCTCATTAACATTTCTTTTGTTTCCAAGGGTGGGAAAGGTGTCTGGTGGAGGGAGTCATTAAGGTCACCTGACAGGGGGTCTGCATGAGGAATCTGAGGTGTGAATGGTCATTAACATATCTTTTGTTTCCAAGGGTGGGAGAGGTCTGAGGTGTGAATGGTAATTAACATATCTTTTGTTTCCATGGCTGGGAGAGGTCTGAGGTGTGAATGGTCATTAACATATCTTTTGTTTCCAAGGGTGGGAGAGGCCTGAGGTGTGAATTGGTCATTAACATATCTTTTGTTTCCAAGGGTGGGCGAGGTCTGAGGTGTGAATTGTCATTAACATATCTTTTGTTTCCAAGGGTGGGAGAGGTCTGAGGTGTGAATGGTCATTAACATATCTTTTGTTTCCAAGGGTGGGAGAGGTCTGAGGTGTGAATGGTCATTAACATATCTTTTGTTTCCAAGGGCGGGAGAGGTCTGAGGTGTGAATGGTCATTAACATATCTTTTGTTTCCAAGGGCGGGAGAGGCCTGAGCTGTGAATTGGTCATTAACATATCTTTTGTTTCCAAGGAGCGGGAGAGGTCTGATGTGTGAATGGTCATTAACATATCTTTTGTTTCCAAGGGTGAGAGGTCTGACGTGTGAATGGTCATTAACATTTCTTTTGTTTCCAAGGGTGGAGAGGTCTGAGGTGTGAATGGTCATTAACATATCTTTTGTTTCCAAGGGCGGGAGAAGTCTGAGGTGTGAATGGTCATTAAACTATCTTTTGTTTCCAAGGGTGGGAGAGGTCTGAGGTGTGAATGGTCATTAACATATCTTTTGTTTCCAAGGGTGGGAGAGGCCTGAGGTGTGAATTGGTCATTAACATATCTTTTGTTTCCAAGGGTGGGAGAGGTCTGAGGTGTGAATTGGTCATTAACATATATTTTGTTTCCATGGCTAAGAGAGGTCTGAGGTGTGAATGGTAATTAATATATCTTTTGTTTCCAAGGGTGGGAGAGGTCTGAGGTGTGAATGGTCATTAATATATGTTTTGTTTCCAAGGGTAGGAGAGAGGTCTGAGGTGTGAACGGTCATTAACATATCTTTTGTTTCCAAGGGTGGGAGAGGTCTGAGGTGTGAATTGGTCATGACAATGTGTGACAAGCTTGGTAAGAACATCCTGTGTTCAGTGTTTTGTCCATCTGAGTACCTTGAAAACACTTTGAATGCATTTTTCATGATGAACAAAAGGCTCTGGACAGCATCGGGAAGTGGAAGAGTTAAAACATTTTTTTTCAAATGCAGACGCTTATAAATATGATTTACCGCATTTAGACGCGTTTAGCCACGTTTACAAGGTTTTTGCATTTGAAACGCTGATAAAAATCGACGTCAGAACCCAAGTTTGTTGCGTTCAAAAAAACGACTGTAAACTCAACTGCCTGTAAACGACTGTAAAGGACGATGTGTACATGGACACATAGGAAAACATTAGGGAGAGTTCAGGGGCTGCTGAAAAAAAGGCTGAACAGATCCTAAACGTACGTTTTATCGGCTGCAGTGTACATGAG